GCACCCCTCACCTAAATTCCCCACTATACCAAAGAGAAGACATTTAAGCCTCAACAGAATTCCCGCGCACTGGCCCCCTTTACATGGCGGGTATTAAGTGGCATTAGACTCGAACACATCACACGCCATCCTTGAGTTTGTGACCTTGACCACTAGTCTACCACGGCACGTGAAACTTTTGACCATGATCACTAAACTGCTATCACTCATCTATGGGGAGAAAGAGAGAGAGATGTAAAACATTTTAAATTTAACATAATTCGCCATTGAACCACGAATAATTCATTCTTCAACCATCTAGTAAATGTAAACTTCAAAATTTCTACACTCAAAAAAAAAACTCCCCCCAAAAATGAGATTTTGAGATAATTACGTTATGCAAACTTACATTATTTATTACAAATCCTCCCAAAATTACTTTGTTTTTTATCTCGTTTGATTTAAATATATGTATATATATATACCTAAAAGTTGATATCGTCTTTTCGCAATTTAAGTTGAAGATTTTTCATTTTGTTATAACTCTATTAATACGCGTCGCAATAATATATCATTGCAAACTTCAATTATTTTCGTTTCATAAACGGGAAACTTATCAATGGACAGAACAGTTCATCAACGCAACACAAATTTTAACAAAATGCCATACATTAAACGATATATGCTGTAATGTATTCGAGATTGTATTATCTCTCTGTAGTGTCTTTCAGTTCTTTTCAATTAACTAGTTGAGCAACGACACACATATAAACCGTCTTATTGTGTTGGGTTTAAATAGATCTAATTCATTTATGTAGTACTCAGGGTATTCAAACATTCTACCGAGTCACGGAGAATATTTACATATTTAACACAAGGAATACAATACACAAATACTCATTTATAATTATCTGTATTATTAGATCTTATTAGTAACGAAAATTATTACTTGTATCCCACTGCTTGAGTTTCGCGTGATTTCAAGTAAACAATTCTGATTACTTTTTGTTTCAGAGGTTAGCATAGTTCTCTAGCTCTCTGATAACTATTGAAAATGAAGTGTGTAGTTTTAAACTCCTTTAGTGGATTAATTATTAAGGTAATCATTAAGGTAAATTTAACATGCTACCGATATTTGATGCATTTTAAATTTAAATTATTGGAAGCTTAATTATATTCCGTAAAATGAAGTATTTAAGAAATAGGCAATATATCTATACTGTTTTGTGCATCACTGATCACGAAGCTCGTCTTTATGTATTCATAGAACAGCGGTTACCCTTAGTAATTTTGGCAGTCAAATGGTTAAACCCGTGATATTGTAGTCGAGTCATAGAACCAAGTCCTGGTTTCAGTTAATACGTGGCATGCGAAATAATGACCTTGGTAGTCTAATAGTCATGATCACAAACTCGTTACTGCAGTGAGAAGAGTTCGAACCCTTGTACCACCGAATACTCGTCGTGTAGAGAGGCTGAAGTACGATAAATCTATCAAGGTCCAGTCCTCCCTGTAGCGAGATATTAAGGTTTGGAGAGACGGATGATAGCTCAGGTGTTTTCCTCCTCAATTGACCGTGGTTCAAAATTACCATGTCCGTCATTAATAGCTCTTCTGTTGTTTTATAGTGTGACGTTAATAAACATTCACTGAATGGAAGTTAAATATTTATCGAGTCCATGACCCATATTCTCATAGTCGAGTCGTAGATACAAGTCTCGATTTCATTTAAAACGTCATGAGTAATAATGATCTAATGATTCTTTTCTACGTTGAAATTGATCTGAACTTCAATATATAGGGTGTCCCCGAATGATGTGTACAAACTTAGAGAGAATGTAGAGAACATCATGAAGAGTCATAATTACAGAGGAAAACATGCGAGGAAACTTAACTCTCACGCGATAAAGAGACGCAAAGGCCGTAATACAGAATGCAGTGTAAAACTATTTATTACAAAAGCAAAAAAAACAATAATAAATCAAAATTATGACGTGGCATGTGCGCACGCACAACACCGGTATGGCATGGGTTGGCGGACATGTTCGAAAATACCAGTCACAGAAGCATCGAAGGATATTCATGTCACCAGATCCATTTCAGCATTGGCAGGGGTGTCGTCAATCGTGGCTGTGAAAGATTCATGTTCCGCTAGGTTCTGATGCACCTGATCGAACGTTTGATGATTCGGTTGTCACCTCATTGGATATCCTTCTCTATACAACCGAACAACAACGCATCCATTTCCGTTCTCTAGACCATTGATGAAGTGGATATCTGCCAACATGACGTTTGTATAACTTCACGTTTATCGCACTTTGTTCATGTCTGAAATAAGTGGACCATATGTGTCGACCTCGCGAGCTTACGCACAGCGTGTATCGCTTTCCGCCCATGCTTTCCTGCGTAATAACGGCTCCTCACGATGTTCTCCACCCATCCCCCCCCAAGTTTGTACACAGCATTCAGAGACCCCCTGTACTTAGGTACAAGTTCATATTTTGTCAAGCCTAAATAAAAGTAAATGATTTCAAAATTATAAGTTTTAATAATTTCATAATTTACGAAAAAACATGTTTCCTTTGTTAGTACAAGACATTATAATTGCAAAATAGTGCAAGAAAAGGGACAATATGTATGAGGAAAAGTATTGTTAGAATGATCGAAAATGAGAGAAAATCCTAGGGTATCGTGGGTAGGTTGGAGGGAGCTTTATCCTTGTTTGCAAAAGTACGTCCTCATGTGGCCTGATTTGGAAACAAGTGTGTCGTCTCTACGTAGCGGAAATCCTATAAAGTCAAACTAAGACGCGAATATTAGGGGAATTCGAGAACTCGCGAAAGCTTCGCGCAAAGTAAATGAGTTTTATTGCCAGTGGGTCATATGTCTGGAGTTCTGAAGTACTTTCGAGACTACTGGTCTGAATAATTCAAACCTACAATGTTAAATTCAACTGCCTCCAGTAATTTCTCATAAAGTGCCGAGTGCCTTTATAATCATTATTTGTTCACGTCTTACGAATGTATTTTGTGGTCTTCTTCAAATGTTTTGCTCTGTACTTCTAGTAAAACGCTGAAAATGGAAAAAATATTGACTTGAATTCAATTCATTTGTATATGTGTACATTTTACAAAATAGACACTCTTTAAAAATATGTGTGTGAAAAACCCCTAACTTAATTTAAAACAAACGGAAGCAATTGGAAACATGCCTTCTATAAAGAAAAAATACATATATATTCAATTCGTGTTACATTAAATAAAATTTTTAATGCATACATAAACACATATTATGCATGTAACTATTTTCGAGAAACAGTGTTTTATTCAATCATGAGACAGCTTTTAATAACCTATAAGAATTTAAAGAAAGTGCAAACTCTCACTGATTTTGAGTTGTATTGTACATTTATTTCAATATCTGCTAAATAAACTTTTAATTTAGGTTTCGAGTGAGTGAGTGATTATTAACGTCGCACTTTTCAGCAGCTCGAGGGCTTTTGGAGATGAACCTCGTAATTTTAAGCCATGGTCAAGAATTTAGGTTTCGAATTAACAGTAAAGTGTGGGTAATTAGTCGTAGAACGTTGGATGATTTTTCTGAGAAAGTACTAATTGTTGAATCTTATACGCGAATATGTAGGTGGGAAAATAAATATTAAATGGGAAGTAGGACATCGGTTAATTTATAATTTAATTTTCTATATATAGTGTGACGTTTGAGAGAAATAACGGTAGCATGATATTGATTAGTTTAAATGTTGATTTTATATACATCACAGCTATTATTTACAGATTATCCATTGAAGTTAGTAACCTTATTAAAAAGATTATTAGAGTTCAAATGATGTGGTTTGTGAGGGAGGAATTTCTTCTCTTCCCTCTCTAGCTTCGAGGATCAGCAGCTGGCGTCTTTAGTCTCCAGTTACATCTCCAGCTAGTGGGCCAGAAAAGGCTTCCTCGTGGTGTCGAAGGTTGCCGGGGTGATCCAAGACAGAACCGCGCAATAATTTTAAAGTTGCAGGTGCCAATGCATGTGTCGGGATTCACAAAAATGCCGATTGACGGCTGAGTGGTGGGGAATTCACAGTTACATCAGAACACACGCACACAATGGGATCTGATATCTAATGAAACCATTTATTTCTTTTTTAATTCAATTAAAGGTATTTCATTGCTACTTAGCTTATTGATACTAAATTTCAAATATTATGTTTTTTGTGATACAGTAATATCTGTAGAATTATTATATATAAAGAATTCCTCTATTTTAGCATCTATTTGTAGCCTTGGAGTAATGGTCAAAAACTCGTGGCTAGATTCGTCATGGTTTCGAGTCATGGTGCCACTGAAGACTCGTCGTGTAAATAGGGACAGTACGCCTTAAAGAGAGTCGAGACTCAATATCCTCCCGTAATGTGGTGTCGTTCTTGGAAGAGCAAGATGCCAGATCAGGTGTTGTCCTCGTCACTTAACGGAGGTTCAAAATTACGAGGTCCGTCGACAATAGCTCTCTTGTTGTTTTGCAGTGCGACTTTATTAACATTCACTCACTTAGCATCTGTTAACAAAATAATTTTAGTCCTGGTGCTAAGTTCCATATATATGTTACGTCGGCGAGAAAAAGACTAAATTCAAGCTTCAAAAATATATCTTTGGTTTATGTTTTATCTTCTGTACAAGTTCTTTGGTTAAGAGTTTTTAAAACTACAAGTGTAAATACGATATTTTACTAAATATTTTCACAATTTCCTTAAGTTATTACTTTTCTTCAATCCCTACAACTAATTCACACTCTCCCTATATATATATATATATATATCTTGTTCAAATCGTTCATAAAATACATTAAATTCCTCCTCTCAAGTTCAATAACATTTTTTTAAACTTGTAGTTTTTTTAAACTTCATATTAATACCGTTTTTTCAAAATTTAAATCAATTAAATTTCATTAACGAGTAAATAGTAACAAACAAATATAAGAGTCCAACATCATTTATAAAAAGGAAAATTGCTCGATTTGTCCCTGTAGCGCCATAGATAGCGCGTTGGACTTCTAATCCAAATATCGAGGGTTCGAATTTCCACCTGGGATGGCCTAATTTCTGAGAATGGGATTTTTTTACTACTCTATTTTATTGGAATAATTAAATTTAATTGAAGAATAAATATTAACAAACAAAAATAATAGTCCAGCACCATACATAGAAAGGAAATTGCAAGGAAAATCGCATTCTATTCTGTCACTTAATTTTGTGATTCTGTCATATATATATACACTGGTGTTAAGCAACAGGTGGGTTTATTGCCATAACCACGAAAAATCATCTGAGAGACATGAAATTCAGAAAAGAGGGAGTGTATTATGTACGTAAAGGATGAAGAAAGCGTCGGTGCTGAAAAGGAATTCAATGCATACGGTATGGAATCAAACAAAAACAAGCTTTATTGAACGCATAGTTTCGCGACCCATGATGGTCTATCCAACAGGAAGAACAACAAGCAGATGTTCCTTAATATGGTATATGCCCTCTCCTTACTGCAATGGTTTCTTCACACCGTCTCCGCATACTCAGAACCAGCTGGTTTAACATTTATTGCGGTAGGAGTACCCATCCTTCAATCAGCATCTGTTTTAGTGGTTCGGTGTTCTCCGGATGATGAAAGCGTGCTGCAATACGTCTCTTCAAAGCATCCCACACATGCTCTATGGGATTTAAACCTGGGGAGTACGCTGGCCAATCCATTCGAGTGATATCTTCACTTTCCAGCAGCTCCTCAACAGCAAGAGCCCGATGTGGCCGTGCATTATCATCCATAAAAATGAAGTCTTGGCCAATGGCACCTCGGAACATGGGGAAAAAGTACCTCCTCACAATAGAGATCCCCGATTACAGACCCTCTATCAAAAATGTGGAGCTCAGTTTGCCCGTTCAGCATAATGCCTCCCCAGACAAGAACTCCAGGACCACCGTAATGGTGTCTTTCCTTAATGTTACTGGTATAAAACCGTGTCCCGATCTCTCTCCAAATCAAAACGCGTTGATAATCGCTTCTGGTACTGAACCTACTTTCATCCGTAAAGAAGACACGACTCCATTGATCAGTTGTCCAGATTTTGTGCTCTCTGCACCACTGTAAACGGTGGCGTCGGTGGTTAACTTTCAACGGGAGGCAGCGTTCAGGACGCTAGGCGAATAGTCCCCCTTTTGTGAAGGCGTCTGGCCACAGTAAACCAAGACACTTGTCACCCCGTATCTGTAGAGAGTTGCTGAACAATGACGCTTGCTGACTGCAGTCGGCCTCTTTTTGCCTGCAGGATGATATATGGGTCATCCCCTGCAGTTGTAGTCCTCGGGCGGCCACCACCAACCTTTCTAACTGCTGTACCTGTGGTTTGGAACGCTTTCCAAGCGCGCGAAACGACACTTTAGGTGATTCCGAACTCTGCAGCTACACTGGTGACGGTACGCTCCTCATCTAGCTTTCCGATAATTCTTCTACGTGTGAAGTCGTTCAGGTGATTTCTTTTAGCCATATTTCACGAACTGACTCACTGGCACTTGTAACGAATATGTTGAATTGTGTCTCCGTCCCCTTCATTTTATTCTACTGTTGAGCAGCGCGCGCCGACATCACGCATTTTGCGTATGCTCACGTCGCTTCTGGCGTTTGTTTCCTGATATTTGCATACGCATGACGTTTCTACTGACTTACTTGCTCACTGTACTGATCTCCAGACCTCCTTTTCTGCAATTTCATGACTATCTGCTGAATGTTTACATTGTTGCTTAAGTTTTGCATACCAGTGTATATATGTACATATTTATATTAATTGTAACTTTTTAATAAAATGTAACTAAAATTTTCTTTTTTAACCTGAGTAAGAATTGACTTAATTTTTTTAATATTGATTGTTTTCTTAATTTAATCGTGTTAAAGTAAATAAAAGTGTAAAAATTACTTCGGATATTTTCATAAAATTCAAATTTCCTTAAAAGTATAAGTAAAAAGTTTAGTGAAGTAACAAATTTGTGAGAATGTGTAATTTTTCACTTGTGTGCTGTAATAGCTTTTCATATGAACTTACAAAAAATTCCTATTTCCAGAGAGTTCTTAAAAAGTTAGACAATTAATAGCGACGCGCCTACAACTAGTGATATTAACAACATACATTTAATATATTTCAGCAAGCAACGTGACATTGATAAACTTTATCGGTGAATTTTCCATAAGCCTCTTTTATTGGTAAAGTATTATCCACTTTTCTATGTGACGTGGTGAATTACTTGCTAACACTTCATCTCTCACGGAAAAGATATTCGGAGAATATAAATGATTTCTTAATAAAGGGTGTGTAAGTTTTCGCTCCAGAGGCGTCTCAAAACGTGAAAACAACGCCCACGCCAACCCAACAAAATGGATCGAACCCTGCATCAAAATGACAAGAAAGGTAAGACAAAAAAGAACAAAGAAATAAAAAAAAATAATAATATTCTGTTTTCTTACTTGTTTTCGGGTTCTTTTTCCCTTTTTCCCTTTAGACCAGCCCGCATATGTTCAGCGGGATATTATGTCCCTATAACAAATCTATCTGTTTGTGTATACATGCATGTATGCAGTGGTGATCCGGAAATCTGTTTATCGGAAATCGGAATGTTATCTTACCGTTGGATTCCGTGCGTGATTAATTATTGGTTTTTATTCGCAGTCCTCCGTCTCTTAAGATTAATAAATCTTCCTTGTCAAGTGAAGAGAGAAAAGTCGGTTACGGCAGTAATTTTATTTCTTTTTCACGAGGGTATAGTTTCGTTTTTGGAGGACTGGATGTTTTGAGTAGGTTGATGACTAAATTAAGCGGTTAGGAGTCTGGATAGGGAGGAAAGTGAATTCACGAATTGTGAAACAGCTTATTGTTTTCTTTATCTTCTTTGACTTAGGTTATTGGCCGTTCATCTAATGTTGTATGTTTAACTAAAATTAAGAGAATAAATACGCGATACGATCGAATTGATTTATGTAATGCAATAACAGATTTAATTCAAGTTGATTGCGTTGTTATTAATATCTTTGCACATTTCCTAGACAAAATTCAATTCGTTTATTAATATAGAAACTATAGGTTTAATTGTATCAGTACCACTTGGAATTTGATTTGAATATTCCTTATTTTAAGTAAACAAATATTAAAGTAATATTGATACTAAATTATATTAACTTGCATATTTGTTCTGATGTTGTACAATAACAATAAAAAAAACTTATTGGAAAGATATTTCGTAATTTAAAAATTTGGTAAATGTACGAAAATGACACTGTAACTAATACTCCATCATTGAACTAATTTTCACGTCTTTCTAGTTATAAGTTTCATCAGCTCAAGATAAATATTTGCCTATATTATCTCAAACACTCGTTTTTGAAAAAAAAACAAGTATCTGATGCTTAAACAAATCTATAATTAACACTATGAAGAAAGAAAAAAGTGAGATGGAATGTCACAAGGAGAAATTCGAAAAAGGGAACGATTGGTAAAGCATCTCGAGAGCGCATCACCCGTATTTACCCAAAGCAGTAAACCTGGGAAAGAAAAATTAATTGAATATTTATTAATGCGCCACTCTTGTGATAAATCACATAATTATCCAAAGAAGGTTTGTGAAGACATCGGGATCTACATCATAAAATGTACTGTATGCACGCACAATTCAAACACGCGAAATATTTTCGTACATGTATGTGTATGAAATTTATGACAATAAACCTCTCGTTAGCAACCAAGTTCTTTAGCATAAAAAAACCCAATAATTATTACGTTACATATGTATTTTATAATGATAAATGGCTTAACATTATAAGACTACGCAAGCATTTTTCCAATGAAATACTTCAAAAACTTTAATTTCCTTAAAAGTAACAAAATACACAATTAGTCTGACTAGACTAGATAATAGGAATTAAAAGTAAAACAAAAAAAAAAAAAAAAAAAAACTACTGCAAATTAGATAACGAAGTCATCACTTGAATGGGCTCACTAATCTGTAATTTAGAATCATATGATTATATTTTTTGTTAAATTTTGTTAACACCGACATTAACCACCAATATACAGTCAAGCCTCCATATATAACGAACCTCTATCTTGCGAATTTTTCTATACAGCGAACGTTTTCCTGTAACCCAGAACATTTCAGGATTTTCTTCATAAAACATCCCCTTTAGCATTTTTTATATAACAAACTTTTTTTCTTGCAACTCAGTTTTTTTCCTTCCTATTTTTAAAGTATAATGCTGGACATTTCAAGTTATTCTCTATTAACACATTTTATGGTGGTCATAAATCTTGAAATGGTTTTTTTAGGTGTCTAACTCACCGAGAACAATTTTATTTTGGAGTTTCATCCAAGAAGTACAACCTTTAGCCTTTATTGTGCAGTTGCTATAAGATAATGTATGTTTAAAATTACTTGTATGGTTTAAATTATGGAAAATGTCCTTAAAATTCATTAATTGTAATATAAAATCAGTTTATTAATATTGAAAATACAGTATATTCATTGACATTCCATTTTCTTGATTTCCTTGCATTTTTAATGGGTAAGTTTTAATAATTAATATATATTAATTTATAAAAAAGTGTACATAATTACTTTTTTTAGTGTATGGTGTGTATGAATTTAACATTTGTTTTATGTGGTTCATAAAGTATATTGAAAGATGAATCTCTATATAAAACGAATTTTCCATATAACGAACTTTTATTCGGGATTTAGCGATTTCGTTATGTAGAGGTCCGGCTGTATTTTGATATTTCAAATAGGAAAAGAAGTTCAATCTAATAAAGCATTAAACACTTTTTTTCCATGACTTAATATTTTTTTTAAGAAATTAGGTTCATTATTGATAAAGGCAGGAGGGAATTGCTACATAAACAAAACTGGAAATTGATTAGTGGACCAATTAAGGATAATAGCCTGTATTAGGGTGTGTTGTTCTACATGCCCTAAAACCAAACAATCTAGCTGACAAATTTGTTTGTAGATAAAGCATACCCCCTCCTCCCGCCCCCGGTTGCTTAAGTATTTTTAGAACAATA